CCTGCAGCTCACTGAAGCTCTATGAGAAAATATTTTATCAAAGGTAAACAGGGATAAATGCTTGGCTATATTCTATTCTCCAGAATCCAGATGTGCTTAGGTTGCTGCAAAGTTATTCTGCCCATTTATGAATTAGTAATGATATTTTTGGTCAAATTTTTCTTTATTTTATGCAGAGGTTAAAATAGAAAATTCCCACTCTAAAACAAAACCAAGAAGAAGACTAGCAGAAAAAAAAAGAAACATGTATTAAAGAAAAAATACACATATATTGTCCTCCCCTAGTTGAATACTAGTAAACATATTTTAATGCTAGTAGTTTCCCAGCTTGTGAAACAGTTCTGCAATAAATAAGCTTCTACAGCTCTGTTTACCCAAACAATTTGACCTACTGTCTATCTACTGTAAAAAACAAAAAGTTAACAGGTAACCCCACCAGCAAAACTAAACTTCAAAGCCCTCAATTAAACAATCTTTTATTGTAATTAACTCAAAGAAAGTCCACAGTGGCTTCAGATCCACCATTACCAACTGCAGTCATTGTCTCTGGTGCATCCAGGATCAAATATTCTTAACTGATTCTTAATAATAAAACTTTTTCCTTAAAATTATAACTAGTATTAGTATATAATAATATTGAATATTAGTAATGACATTTGAGCAACCTAGACAATTTATTGACTGCCTTTCTAACAAAACTTTCCCAGGATAGTCTACAATTTGAAAAGATACATGGACTGCATGTATTTTTTTTAATACATTGCACACCTACTTTGTAGATTTAGGGATTTTTTTTCTTTAGAAACAAAAGCAAAACTTAAATCAAATCTTAACTGAAGTTTAGTAGCAGAATCAGGAACCAGATGGAAGAGATTAAGGAATTGTATCTAGACATTTTACAGTTTCAGAAACACAGATGGGTAAGGTCTTCATTTGCTAATAGTATGTCAGTTATCCTTATTTATCCATTCACACATTAAAAATTATTAGCCAGTTATAATTCTGATTCTCCATTTCACTACTCAGCTTGGCAAATAGACAGAAATGGATCTAAATATATGGCAAATTGTTTTTACATGAAGTCAGTTTTAAAGTCACCAGACATAACTGTCCAAAAATGCATAGATTCTGACAATATGACAGTCTAATCACTCAAGAAGAGTTTATAGACTGGTAACTCTAGAAACTTGAAGATTGACAAAAACACATGTTAGCTATGTTTTATTATTAAGACAGTATGAAATATAGTGAACTTCTGCAGATAACTGTGTTTGTGAATGTATAAATGTATATAATATAATTAGTAAATGCAAAGCAGTTAAATAACTTTATATCAATATTTCCAAAATATACTAGTGAAACTGATGTATAAATTTAAAGATTAAAACTAAAAGATTACATGAGAATGTAAATTATGCTAGGATAAAAACTGCTGACAGCAAAGTCTGATGCACATTAGATCAGAAGTAAGACCCACTGAACTCAGTAGAATTAACTCTTCTTAGGTGTGCATAGAATTGCAAGCTTAGTCATTTAAATATAGAATTTCTGATAATTATTGCTAATCTCTATTGAAATTGAAGACAGTGCTGCCAATCACAATCATTTCCTACACAATTCTAATAATACGATCATTGAATGGACAATTGTAATAGTTTTTGGTATGTGGATTTTGTTTCCACAACAAAGTTTATGCACTGAGGACATCAGAAAAATAGTATGCTGCCTTTGGCCAGTTCTGCATGACCAGCTTACCTCTGGGGGAGCACAGATAACTAACCATTTCACAAGAACAAGAATTCATAGTATCATGTTTTACCAACGGCCAAACCACTAGAAAGGCAATGTCAAAAGACCATTCATTGTAGGTGAAATGGATGGATTAACTCAAATAGTGATGTTCAATTCATGCTCTTCTTCATTTTTTATGTGTGGGTATACCATCATTCCAATTGAGTATGGAATCCAGTGGGCAGAATACTCCCTGCCCTGCAATCACTGGCATTCACTACCATTTTTTTTTCAAAGTTCACCAGAGGAATTGTGAATTGATGGACTTTTTAACGTGATAGACCAGTGGACAGGAAAAGAAGACAATGCTGTCTTTCTCTTTAACCAAGCGAAACCAGATTGAATGGAGAAGTAAAATGGCAGAATTGTGATGTTTTTCTTTTATTTCTCTTTCCAGTCTTCCACCAGTTGAAAAGAAGAGGAATCTGTCAACCAATATGACTGAACAGAAAATCAGGGCCCCTTTGGGAACAAATTGGTAAAACTATTGAAATCTGGAAAATAATTTCTTCAGTTCCAGCTATTTTACATTTGGAAGTCCAGTTGCTTAAGGCTGCAGCCCACAAAAAAAAATGAATTAAGGACATGATTGGCAGACAAACTATTAAAATGGCTTTAGTGGTGGTGAGGTAGCATCCCCAGCATGCTTTGGAGCAGGGGTTGCCAACCTTTTGGACCTCAGGGACCACCAAACTCATAATTTTAAATCTCGTGGACCACTAATATGAATCCAGCATGCTGCTCGCTGAAACGCCTTGACTCCCACTGACAGGATGGGGTCCTTCAGGCACTTAGCTTGGCTGCTAACCTGAAATACCCAAAGAGTCATTTGGACCCATTTCCTACAGAAAACAAAACACCAGGATCTTTCATTTCTGTTTCTCTCTCATCTCTCTCTCTCTTTCCTCTTCTCTCTCTCTCTCTCTCTCTTTCTCTCTCTCCCTCTCCCCCTGCCCTCCCTTTCCCTCTTCCCCTCCTCCTCCCTTCCTCCCTCTCTCTCCCACACATGCATGGACAAACACACACACACAGTATTTATCTGTCTTATGAATTAGGAGTTTGAGTTCAGGACTATTTGTTTTAAAAATATAACATAGTAATCTGCTTGACTACAGCTAAAATATTAAGTAATTAGTAACAGTCATGAATATTATTTAAATTTTGCAAGTATAATTTATTATAAGCAAATGAATTTCTCATGTCCTTTTCAACAGTTCGTGGTTGTTATCAAGCACTATATGTAGGCTGGATTTCACATTTTTATCCACCTTTTAAGTCTTTCCCAAAGACCTGCAATAGGTAGATGTTGTTTGATGATATTAAAGGTCTAATTGCAAGATGTAAGGTGTTCCAAGTAAAGCTGTACTGGCAGTAAGAATTCCACACATATTTTATTCTCTTCTCTGATTTAACTTTATTTCTTAGTTATAATTATATTTTTGTCAGTGATTTTATCATTGTTTTTATTGATATTTTTTAATTGAAAATTGTTTTCTAAATTATTTAACTTGCCCTATTATCATAAATATAAAAAAATCTACAAACTGTTTGAGACTGTATCTCATGTTACATGTTTTGTACCTCATGTGTGCCATGGCCTACCAGTTCAAGACCACTGTTATATATAATCAATCAGTCAAGCAATCTTAATTACTATAAGATGAAGCTCAGTTTCAAGAGTTCAGACGTGTATTCTATAATCCATAGAGGAAAATACTGAAGAATCTGCAATGTTACATTCCAGTTTTTATCATTAGTGTGAAACCACAACTGTCTTCTTTACCTCCATTGGTATTTATATAATGTTTCTGTGTGTATATATATATCTAAATAAATATAATCCATTGATTATAGATATGAAAAGGTTTTCATGTCATCTAGTCCACTATTTATAGATGTGGGAAAAAGAAACAGAATTGGTAATAATTCAGGAAACATAACTGACTTGGAAAAATGCTACAAATTCAAAATCTAAATATGGTTTAAAATGACTGGAAGATATCTAATAAGATAAAAGAAGATTTTAGGAAACATCTGAGAAAAAATAATCTGATTAGAATAATGGTATAAAAACTGATGCAACACACAAATTACATTATAAATATCTGGGATATTTATAATGTAATTTATTATCCAACCACCAGTTGAATGATAGTTAAAGTACTGGCCTAGATACCAAAAGTGAGTCCTAGGTCTCCTATGAGCATGAGAGTGATTGGGTGGGTCTGCACCAGTCATTTTTTCTCAGCCCAACCCACTGCACAGGAGGCAGTAATATTAAGTATGTTTTCTGTCTTGAATGGATCCCCTACCCCCCAAAAAAGGGCTGAGTAAAAATACAATAATAATAGTAGTACCAATAGTAATAGGCCCCTTGGGTGCAATCCTAAAACAACTGGAGCATTGCTTGAACATCATTGTCATTATAAAAATCATCACCAGTCAATTGCAAAAAATAGCTTTATTTGGAACAGCTTACATCCTGCAGTGATACCGGTAAAACCATCAAACATCCACATCTTCCCATCTCAGGTCCTGACTTGATAGGTGGATAAAAATGACAAATCCAATCTGAACATCTGGCTGACTGTGTGATGAACCACAATAACATCACTTGCAGATTTTGAGTTTTCAAGATTTCTTAGAAGAGAACGTTTCATGCAAAGATGGACATAAAAGGACCAAAATGGCAGGGACCTAACAGAGGCAGAAAAGATCAAGAAGAGATGGCAAAATTACACAGAACTATATTAGAATGAGTTTATCATCTATGATAACCACGATGGGGTGGTTACTGACCTTGAGCCAGACACCCTGAAATATGAAGTCAAATGGGCCTTAGGAAGTCTGAGCAACAACAAAGCTAGTGGAGGTGACAGTAATCCAGATGAGCTATTCAAAATCTTAAAAGACAATGCAGTAAAAGTGCTACACTCAATTTGCCAGCAAATTTGGGAAATTCAACAGTGGTCTCAGGATTAAAAAAGGTCAGTTTACATTCCAATTCCAAAGAAGGGCAGTGCCAAAGAATGTTCAAACTACCACATCACTGAACTCATTTCACATGCTAGCAAAGTTATGCTCAAAATCCTACAAGCTAAACCCCAGTAATATGTGGACCAAGAACTACCAGAAGCCCAAGCAGGATTTCAAAGAGGCAGAAGAACTAGAGATCAAATTGCCAACATATGCTGGATCATGGAGAAGGCTATGGAGTTCCAGAAAAACACCTACTTCTGCTTCATTGATGATGCTAAAGCCTTTGATTGTGTGGATCACAACAAATTGTGGCAAGTTCTTAAAGAGATGGAAGTACCAGACTACCTTATTTGTCTCTTGATAAACCTATATGCCGGTCAAGAAGCAACAGTGAGAACTGGACACAGAACCACTGATAGATTTAAAATTGAGAACGGAGTTTAGCAAGGCTGTATACTGTTGTATACAGTACGGCCTATTTAACTTATATGCAGAACAAATCATGAGAAAGGCAGGGCTAAATGAATCACAAATTGGAATTAAGATTGCCGGGAGAAATATCAACTGTCTCAGATATGCAGATGATACCACTCTAATGGCAGAAAGTGAAGAGGAACTAAAGAGCCTTTTGATGCAGAGGTGAAGGAGGAGAGTGCAAAAGTTGGCTTGAAACTCAACATTAAGAATACTAAGATCATGGCATCCAGCCCTCTCAATTCTTGGCAAATAAATGGGGAAGAAAAGGAGGTAGTGACAGATTTTATTTTCCTGGGCTCCAAGATCACCGCAGATGGGGACTATAGCCAAGAAATTAAAATATGCTTGCTTCTGGAGAGGAAAGCTATGGCAAATCTAAACAGCATATCAAAAAGCAGAGACATCACCCCTCAAACAAAAGTGCATATAGTGAAGGCTATGGTTTTCTCAGCTGCAATGTATGGCTGTGAAAGTTTGACCATAAGGAAGGCTGAGCGCCAAAGAATTGAGGCCTTTGAATTATGATGCTGGAGAAGACTCTTGCAAATCCTTTGGACTGCAAGGTGATCAAACTGGTCAGTCCTAGAGGAGATCAGCCTTGACTGCTCTTTAGAAGGCCAGATCCTAAGGCACAACTCAAATACTTTGGCCACCTAATGAAAAGGAAGGACTCACTGGAGAAGAGCCTAATGTTGGGAACGATTGAGGGAAAAAGAGGAAGGAGACAGCAGAGAATGAGGTGGATGGATGGAGTCATTGAAGTAGTCAGCATGAGCTTAAATGGACTCCGAGGGATGGTAGTGGACAAGAAGGCCTGGAGGAACATTGTCTATGGGGTCATGATGGGTCGGACATGACTTTGCAACTAACAACAACAAATATTTCTTAATTTGTAAGCTGCCCAGAGTAACTTCAAAATGAGATGGGGCGGGCAAATAAATATAATAAATAAAATAAAAATAATTTCAGCTCCTTTATCATGGTTGCTAAATCTAGATGACCAGTAGTTGGCCAGAAAGATACAAAAAATGTTAGTTGCCTTTCTGTGGTCATCCAGATTGTTGCAGCTCCTGTGTGCTAGCCCAATATTTATCTTGCAAATTTGCAGCTACTTTGTAATCTTTAATAAAGATCCTCAATATGGATCCCCCCCCAAAAAAGTTAACAGAACTTCTGTTGTTGGATATGAAAACCAGTGTGACAGTTTCATCTACAACTTACATGAATTTTGCTTGAAAGTAAGGCATGAATTGATAGAGGGAAGAATAAAAACATCTAAACCTTGATAACTGGGTAAAGAGAAGGAAGGTTAGAGGGATTTTAAATCCACCAACATTTTGAGTAAGTACTTCTAGAAGCAACATTGACGGGTCTATTGGATGTGATCTTTTCCTAAATCTTGATTGCTAGGTCTCTTAACTAGAGCAAGGATTTGCTACATTGTTAACCTCTGTTTTCTATTTTCAGGCAATGGATGATTGAATCCTCTTCTGCTCAGAAAAAAATTCAATAGCAAAACCCCATGTATACAAACTTGATATATGCTAATAATCATATTATGCATAAAATATAAGAAGTTGCATTTTAAACAGTTTATCTGGTCTTTGCTGTGTAAACTCATGAAGATATATACTGGAGAATATGCCTGAAGCACCTGCAGTAGGTTTTTTTAAAATATTTTGCATTAATTCTTATATTATATCTTTGTTTTCTAATAATGTGCTGTTGTCTTTTACAACAAGATACTAGATTGAGTAAATTGTATGGTTTTTTTTGTATCTGCTTCTACTTGAAAGACTGCAATAGAGAGAGAAAAGAGAGAGACAAAAGCTTCAGTTGTTTCTGGGCTATCATTGTGTTCTCATTCTTTTAGCAAGTTCACACAATAATATTTGAATAAAACCGGAACAAATTCTACTGGAGAACTGCATGGAACTAATGAGGAACAAAGAGACCATGTTATAGTCTTTGCTGTCTGAATAATGGCCTTGTTGCTTTTTGATCTTTTATTTTGTTGATTTCCTTCTTTGCTGAAAGAAGCAAGTTATATTATAGTTCAAAGTTCTGTTCATTGCTTCAACCCTGACAACCTGTTCTGCAGATTTAAAGTTAATAAAGGAATCACCATTTGTCTTCCACATACTGGACTCTACTAATATTTATCTTAGAAACAATGAAACCTTTTTTATGTGTAGATGCATGAGTTTCTTTGAGGTACAATGTTTTGTGTGTCATTGAAAATTCTAATCTCAGGTCAAGTTTTCTACAGGTTTTTGTATTTTCTTTTAATTTTGTCTTGACTCCTGATTGCTAATAATGAACATCCTTTTAAAATTAACATTATACTTGTGGTTTCACTTTTAAAAGTATATGAAATAAAAATAGAGAATCTTCTGGAACAAATACATGGACATATAAGAGTCTGTATATGATAGGCAGAATGCTGATTAAAGTCCTATGCTATTCTGTGCTTGAAAAATTCTAGATCTCAATTAAAAAAAAAAACCTAGCAAATTAATAGTAGCTTTAACATCTATAAAATGCTGAATATCCCTTAAATTATTAATCACATTTACAATCAAAATGTGTTTCTTTTATTGATATTGGTATCTTTCAGATACTAGTATCTTACCTTTTGAGACTATGTTCTTCTCTTTATGAAAGATTAGGCTATCATCAGTCAGTGTACTTTCATAGCTGATTGTGGATCAGACTAAGTCCAATACTTAACCACTACACCAGGTTAGTGTATCTACAGTTTCACCTATTTCTACCTTCCCACTCTTGCTATGTTACCTCATTTTGGTGATGTATTGGGAGATGTTTCTCAGAGGGATGGGTGAAGGATGCCAAAGTATAAAATACAGAACTGTATTTTACTAAGATGTAATTGACAATGAGGTGTTCCTCAGCTGATGGCACTCAACATGCTGCTCAGAAAGAGCTCAGAATCTTTCAGAATATTAATGGAGTTTATGATATGGCTAAATTAAAATGTTCAGGATGTTCAGTTGCTGATATTGCCATGCAGGGGGAAACCCCCCCCCCCACTAAATCTGCGAAGAAAGAAGGACAGCAGGAACATGGATTATAAGAAACATGAACATGGGAAAGCTTAACATAGTAAAAAATGAAATTAATTGTTCATGTTGATACTTTATGTTTGAAGTTTAATTTGAAATCAATAAAAAATGCCAAACTTAGGAAAGAAGAAAATGTAGTTGGACTACAGAGTCCAGAAAACAAAAACGAAGGAGAAGAACAGATAAATTTCTGAAAAATCTAATGATTTTTTTTGCTAATACATTCTTCATGTAACCAAAACAATGTCTACATATATAGACATCATAAGATAGAGATTACATAAATCAAATTAATCATACTTTGATGCAAGGTGGTAGAAAAGCCAATCTCTAATAGCAAAGACATGGTGAAGAGTTAACAGTAGAACAAATCACAACATGCTCAAATGCAAAGACATAATTCAAGCTAAAGCAGAAGATCAAGGTCCATCAGTTTTTTGGATATGATCTTGAGCTTATACGTATCTACCACTTCAAGCAGAACATCAGGAATTGTTTTGATGACTTTAACTTCATGAATAGGGAATTATTATGGAATGAATTAATAGTTTTCCTGAATGAATGAGAAAAGAGACTGCAAAAGCTAAGAAACAGAAGAAAGCCAAGAATGGAAATTGGAATGAGAAATGGAAGTCCTGGTTAAATATAGATGGATTAGTTTACCAATCTTGGAAAAGTTATTCTATGCTACACATTTAAATAAAAAATTAGCTCCTACCCTGAGACTTACTCTATTTTAACAATGACTTTCAGAAACTATGTTCACTTCATCAGAAAACTCAGTCTCTGACAGTACATCTGCAATGACTTGTGCCTGAAATTATTGCCTTTCACTGAGGAATGCTCATTGATTGTCCTAAGATATTGTATATCATAGATTAAAATTTCTATTAAGTATTTAAAATAGAGATCTCCAGCAAAGAAGATGGAAAAGAATATCGTATAAGAATAAATGAGGTCAACAGCTTATTTACTTATTAGCTAGGTCCTGTAAGTTCTGCCTCAAACATTATGTACATCTTACTAAGGGGTATACACTACCGCCATGCTTTGCAGACAGCTCCAAAGGGTAGTTTAATTGAATGGACATCTCATGAATATGGATAACTAACTATACATTTTCCCACTAACAAAATATTGCTGCTTAGATGCTGTAAAAATGCTGTTTCTTGATGTGATATTACAACAGATACAACAGATGTGATAGCTAATGGAAAGATCTTTGAATATTGCACAATTATTTAACAACAATTGCACTTTTTATTGCACTTACAAGCATAGAAAGGCCTGGAGCAGAATTATAATATATCAGGATTTCTGATTTATTTTGTAAATAGAATGTGCTCCAGTGGTTTTATATGTTTGAATATATTTCTAAATATACTGAATTCCAAGTACAATGACCGTGGATATAGTCATGTTTAAAGTCCATGATAAAAAGGACATTTTGAATTATCTGGAGGGAAACAAAATCAGTTATCTTAAACATGTTTCTGAGTCTCATTCATTTTACCTGGCTTCTCCTCTACAGATCGATACCTAGATATTTGGTACCTAATCGATACCTAATATTTGGGGAACCAAGTTTTTATTTTTTTAAAATAAAACATTAATAGTTCCTACTGAATATGTTGAACTGTATAAAATGAAAATGCCTGTTTATCCTGAGGTAGGCTTTCACATAATACTTTTTAATAAAATAGAGAAGGTATAGAATTAGTTATTAGAATAAACAGCAATCCTTGCTAATGGTGAAAGTAGTACCAATCAGTTTGAACATATTTGCTACAAGTATATCCAAAATCTGGTTTCATCTGAAGCATGTTGGGGTTTCATGCAAGCTAGAATCATTAGTCTGGAGACTATTTTTATATTTTTATTTTATTATTTTATTTTATCATTTATTTATAAGCTCTACAAAGAAAAAAGAAATAAAAAAACAAAAATATAAATTTACAGGCTTTATTAATTTGAGCAATAACTTTCAAAGCTAACAGATATATCTTAAATATATCATTTAAATTATAATTGAAAGCAAATCAATAATAATTAACACAAGTAACCAATATAATAAAAATAATCAATCATAATAAATATGTTTCCTTGTAATTTATTTTAAAAAATGTATCCTTATTATAACAAATCAACAAGACAAATATTGTAAAGCATTATATAGAGAGAAACCCAAACCTTGGATGAGAAACAAGTCCATGTGGAAAACCAGTCCCTAAATTATTTCCAGGTTAAATTATATTCATTTTTTAAAAAAATACAAAGTTTTTTATATATTAATGCACATTCTCACAGTTTAGATAGAATTGTATGTAATTTTCAATAAGAAGCATAAGATAATCTGCAACTGTTATATACAGAATCAACTCTATGTAGCAGTTTAGAAATATAAAGAATTATTAGCAGAAAAATGACTAGTAGAAAATGATATTTAATATTTGATAAATTCTATGTGAATCACCTTCCGAACATGTTGAACTATGTTGCTACCAAGTATGAAAATGTGATCCAGCATTTCCAATTATGTTTTGAATACTAGTTATTTATAGTTTTTTAGGATTGGACTGGTTCACTGATGACATAGAGATCAATACTGTAGCTATTCAACTTGATAACAGTGTGATTGCCATCTGTTACAACACTACAGTCTTCGTTGTGCAGTTGGTTGACCACTCTGGATACAAATTCCTGGATTAGTTGGGCCAGGGGTCCAGTCCAGCTATTGGACAACAACTGGTTTGTTTGAATCTTCATACGTATAGTAAAAGTTACAATATTTTTGTGTATAAGAATATTTTCCTGCCCATTTTTTGATAAGGAAGTGAGAGTTGAATATCTCAATAGAGAGAAATAATAAAATAGTGAACATGATATTTAACTCGTGAGAATGGAACACATTAGAACATATAGTCAATAATAATGGATGATGACTAAATGACTTACTATAAAAGTAAGTCAAAAATATGAAAGAAATACATCGTATTAGTCTGATCATACAGAATCAGTGAATGAATATTGCAAAATAAATATATGAAGAAAAAGTAAATGAGTCAAGAAAAAAAGAAAATTGACATGTGTTTCAATGCAGCTGATGAGATCTTCCAAAAGGTAAGATTAAAAAACAAAAAGTAATGGATATAATAGCATGTAGATGGGTGGAAGCAAATGGAGATTTATATGGACAGAAAATTATAGACAAGTATGATAATACTAATAAAGGAAAATATATGTAGCTCAGGTTTGAAATAAAGGGTCCTTGGTATCTCAGCTTGCTTGTTTTCTTGCAGACATTTCATTACCCAAACTATGTAGCCTCATCAGTGCTAGTAAGGAGTGCTGTTTGCTGTCAGTTTATATTCTGGTGGCTTTCCCTGTCAGTATCACCCCTGACAGGAAAAGAATGTAAACTGATAGCAAAACAGCACTCCTTACTAGCACTGATGAGACTACATAGTTTGGGTAATGAAACATCTGCAAGAAAACAGGCAAGCTCAGAGAAGTACCAAGGACCCCTCAGTATGGTGAATCATATTGGCATAAACTAGTTTTACCTATGCTCCCTTTTATTTTCTTTTTTAATCTTATGATTTTAATGTATTTGGTTTACTGATTATTTATCTTTTTTACAGATATTTCTACTGCTTACTTTGAACTGGACTATTGTGCTGACATACATATGTCCTGTATTGTATTTCTGTGTTTAGACTTTTACATCTTAGAACTACTAGACCTGAACTGCTAAAACCCCCAGACTTAGTTTTCTGTACTTCCTTGCTTCTGGATTTCTGCAGCAGTGATCTGGTGGTCTTATTATATCCATAAATAATCATGCAGGATTACAGTCATAGTATTTCTAGCGCTGTAATATCATGTGCTCATTTTGTATAGGAAGCATACCACTATTAGCTTTGAAATATTTTGTTTGTCCTATGATGTAGGATAACAAGCAGGAACTCAAGTAATTTCATTCCCTCAATAGTTTTATTTTCTTTCCCCCCACCTCTTTCTTTTCTTTTAGATCTGGGCTGTGGGCTCTGTACCAACTGAGCAGGAATACACATATGTTTCTAATAATAAGAACATGAAAAAACCTGACCTTCCTGAATTTTGACAATATTCTTTGCCAAAATGCACAGAGAGACAGACAGACAGACAGACAGACAGAGAAGCAGAGAGACAGACCATATTCATTGTATGGAAACAAAACATCTACCAATGTTGTTACTTCCCAGGTGACACCTGATAGACTACTGTTCTTCAAGCTAAACTTCATGGAAGGTCTCTTCTGCATCATTAGGCATTATTATTACCCAATTTTAGGATATAGTTAAATAATTTTATTTGATCTGGTTATCAGATTGATATATCTCATCCCAAGCAGGCACATATAAAGCAGAATGTAAGTGCCCATTTGGTAAAGTTTTGTTTTGTTAAGTAAGTTAAGTGTATGTGGATGATTTGGGAACTGAAGTAGGGATTGACTGAAAACTAACCAAGGGGTAATTGTGTTTTTTACATGCATGGTTCTTTCATAGCCATATTTGCTCTAGGAATCTAGCAGAATGACATTTGTACATTGAAAAGTGCAAAGAAGCAAGCCTAAAGCATATATTTAGCCTATGTCTACAAAACTTGCAGAACATTAAATCAGCAGAATGAAAGGCAAGCAAACAGAGGAAACATAAAAATGAACTGGCTACTTCAAGGCACAGCTACAGTAATTATTTCAGTCTTTTGCTTACGGGGGTACCAACTGTTTACAATTTACTGGCAAATTGGGTATTGGCAAAGCTGGGTAGTCTCATTTTCCCTCCTGGTTCAGGAGTCAAAAACATATGCTACCTTTCGTAATGAACTCGCCTAAGATTTGAAGCTATCCATATTCATGTCACCAGAAATGTTTACGCAGGAGCAAAATGCTCCAATATCCATATAAATCAGAAGCAACTCAAAGTTTATATTTCCTTATGCTTCTTTGGCATTGCAAAGCAGACAAATGTAATTTAATTAGAAACAAAAAGAAAAAAAATGGAAATCATGGCTCTGAAAATAATGCAAGCCAATGCAAAGTTTCAGCATCCTTCAAAGATTTATAACTTATCAATAGACACAAGAGAATATAGAGATATATTGTATATACCTTGCATATTTCCATCTACTCTGCATAAATTATACATTCATTATCATAATTATAACTTTATTTGTAGGTTTCCACATCTCTTTTCTTATAAAATGTAGCTGTACAGTAATATTTGCAATTTTTAGGGGAAAATACACTTTGTTTTCTACTTATTTACATTCTGCCAATATTCTCAACCTGTCCAGGGCCTCTTAATGTATTTCCGTTCGAAAAGCTTCTGCTTTAAGCAACCCTGTTATATACAAGGTTCAATAGTACCATATTTGGATAGTGAACCACATTTACCAAATAATGAGTCATTTTTATGTTTGACACTTAATTAATAATTGCCCAATGATTAGATGAGTAGGCTCCATAACAATAGATATTCCATTATTGTACAATAGAGTTGTTCTTGTGATGTCTGTTTTTTGACCTAACCTACCTTGAATGGTGGACAAAAAGGATCAGAAGAAGCACACTTTCCCCGTTTTGTCTGATTTTTTGGGGTTACCCATCAATAAAGTCTCCATTGCATGCTCAGGTATGAATCCTAATTGAAAAGGGTCCAAATAAAAGGATCCACTTGCCTAAAACACTTTGTAGTTTAAGCCTCACCACTCTTCTCAGGCAAAGAAGAGAAGAACAGGTAAAAGCCATAAGAAGATTCCCCCCAACCTCACAAGGAATTGTGAAGTGAGTAGGTGTTGGAAGGGGGAATGGGGAGCTTCAGCTACAATGTTCCATCATTTCCAACCATAAATAGTCCTGATTTTTTACGGTATACCCTTAATATTGTCTATCTTTTGAGATACATGTAGTAATGGAGCTGAAAATAGCATCTCTTTAAGTATGTCTAGATCATTATTCCCTGAAAGATAGTTTGATTAACTATTTCAGGGGTGTCAAACTCATGGCCCATGGGCTAGATGTGTCACATGCTGGCCATGCTCACTGCTGGTTTAGTGAAGAGAAAAAAAGTTGCAATACATCACATGACAATGTGTGAGCTATTGTGAAGGTATCTTATGCTTTCAAGAGAACATACAGTAATTGTTTTAGAAGATATTAAATCTGTTCATTTTATAGGCATCATAGTATTGCAACTGCTTCATTGCTTAGCTGCTTTGCTGTTTAGCCACATCTTTGTTTTAGTTATACAGCCTCTGTCTTCATTACTATGTGTATATATATATATATATATGTTTTCTGAGGTTCTCGCGGGTATTTATATGTAGATCTTTGGTTGTTCGGGTTTTCTCCCGCGTAAGATTTGAAGTATCTAGGCAACGTTTCGATGAAGTCTCATTCATCATCTTCAGGCTTCTGTCTCCAGCTCTGTGCTTCTCAGAGTAATGGAGATTGCAGCTGCTTCCTCCTTTTAAC